CAAATCGTGAAGTAAGTTTTATGTAGGTAATTTTGTTATTGCAATTATAAGGAATATACTCCTGTATATATTTTGCAGACTTACATGCTAATTGATATTTCAAATCCCAGAATGGGACATCCATCCTACCACATATCGCCGCAGCCCTATGGATTTAATCACATTATTTCTTTCTTGTTCCATGGACTTCCGACCATCTTCTAGAAAGTCATGAAAGCCTTTTTTTTGTCCTGCATGTGCTAATTGATTCGTACCATGTGTGTATATCCATATACTTAAAATAGTTTTCATCTCTTTTTAAAAAATTATTTTTATATATTTATTTATTTATTTTTATTTCCTATCCTTAGTAGCATATTTTATTCCTTTAGAATACTGGATATTTGATGTGGTGATGGTCTTGTTGGAAGAGAGTAGATTAGCAAAGAGAGCTTTGCAGATGAATCTTAATTATTTATGATAAAATAATAGTTCCTGTTACAAGTAGTAGAATGTAACTGTAGTTCCTGTGCTTGATCTGTATTTTATTTTTCCTTTCCAATCACATTACTTGTGTGGTAACATTAAGGTGTGTTTCCCTGGATGGCAGATATCTTTTACAACGTACTTATTTTCCTGTTTGTTTTCATGTTTGTGGGCTGATTGTTTACATGTAGCAAACGTAACTGCTTTACATGTCAGTGTTTTGCCTTTTAATAAAATAAGACCTTTCTGAAGGTGATGTTCGGCTGAGGCCTTTGAGAAGTGTGAAAGCAGAACTCGTGAAGAGTATTTTCTGTTTTAACAACTCCGCATAAATCCTTCTCCACTGTTACAGAAAAACATACTTTTACTGTGTAATCATTTTATGTCCATCTTTCTGAAATTGATGCATGTATTGTCTCTGTTGAATTTGTGTAAATTCATAATGTAGTGGCCATATAAAACATACAAAAACCCCACAATAAAAAGGAGGTTGCATGAAATTTCGTATAACGGTATAAATCTCTTTATCAAAGAGATATTGGATAAAAAGATCCATTTTCTTTTTTATTAAGAACCTATATATAATAAAAGATATTTGAAATACTTTCCCCCTGTAATTAATGCTGTCTCAGATTTTCAACATCCTAAGTTTATTGTCAATCTTGCATTTTCAAATTAAATGAAAAAGCTGTCTGTAAACGTCAAGTTTTCTTGATCACTGAATAGATAGATAGGATAGGAGATAATATGAAACAACCTGAAATAAGTAGAGGTACATTAAAGTTCTGTTTGAATAATTTTGAAAATTCTTCCATCCTTTTGTTTCAATTTTCTTTTTTTTTTTTTTTTTTCCCATGCTAAGTGAATTGGTTATCAGTTTCTTGTTAACTTTCTGGGTGAAACTTATGAATTAAATATCTGTGAAAAATGAGGGAGGTGCAGAGCTGAACAGGTCAATTCTGTCAGAAGTTCCTTAGAGGTAGCTAATAAAGCTCTTAATCCTAACATGCTCTTAGCAAAGTCTTTAACATCATGCCTTGCATATCCAAACAATCCTCTGCTTGCTTTCTGTAAGGTTAAGATCGGTGTGTGACAAGATGAAGTATACAGACTGACTTCTTCAGATAGTTTCAGGCCATAAAAATTTTAAGGCAGGAGATAAAAATATGGTCTTCTCTAGTTACAAAATAGTTTGACACTTAAAGAGGCATTCCAAAAAATTAAAGGATACTTTTAACAGTTGTGGGAGATAACTGTTTTTATTTTTTTGGATAATTCAGGTGGGGTTGTGCTTCTTGCTTTGAAGGGTAGAATTTATGTTCAGTGCAGACCTTTAATTGGAAAAAAGGTGTATTTTTTAAAAAGCAGTTATCAGCTCCGTTTTTGTCTCAGTTGCTGATTGTTTGGACTATATTGAAATTAAATAGCAGCCAGTTAAGTGTTGTTTCTTTTGCTCGGTATATATCTTCCCAGATGCACTGAAATTAATTCAGAAAATTGCAGGTTTATTTCAGTAAAAGTAAAGTGGCAATTCTTAAATTGTTGCCAAAGTCAAATGAGTTAATTCTATCAAGGTTTCTGCCTTTCATCATGTTTGTCTTTTACGTGTTTGTCTTTTTCTGCAAAACAGAATTGTCTTGCGTCAAAAAACCAGTGGCCTGAAGAAAGCTCCAAACTTTCCATTATACTTTTAAACAAATAATCATATATATTTCCTTCTTTAGTGTTAGCTCATATTTAGTTAATACATCAGAGAGCCTAGCTCCTATTGGTCACACAGATTACTTGTTTACAATTACGTCAAACTTACATCAGCACTTATTGTTATATTACCATGGTTATATTATTGTTAAACTTAACCTTGTGCTTGGTTGCTGATCAAAAACTAACTAGCTTTGTTTTCCTTTCTAACCCAACAGACAAAATTACTATACCTTGCCTGAACACTGAGGTATATTTTATATATGTGCAGACAAATTCAATGCATTTATATCAGACAAATTCACAGGGTTTAGTCTTTGCTATTTGCATTTTCATGGCAAAGTGAATGTTACCACAGTGAAGTGATAAAGACGCATCATCAAGACTAAGGAGGATATTTTCCACCAATTTTTTTTCTACTTTATTATTTTTCTGAAGTTCGATTTGCCTTGGGTTTTCATATTTATACGTCAGTATTACACACTGAAACCAAAGTGATTTCTGCTAATGCATTTCTGTCAGTGAGTTATTTTTTGCATCATCTATTGTTAATTCAGAACTTTCCTTTTCTTAACTCTCAGTATTACCAGGAAAGAAAAATGGGCTTGCTATTAAGCTTTAGCACATCCTCGAGTCTGGTGTGGATAACCTGTGACCTCTGCTGCGGCACATCATGTCTTTGTAGACCGAAATGTTGATAGTTTCTTCCTCTCACTGTTTTTTGTTCTGTTTATTAAAGTTTGCAATCTTTCATTGTGCTTATACAGTGACCCCTGTTATGAATGACATCCAAGAGAAATCTCTAGAAGGTGTTTATAATAGTAATAATAAATAATATTTAACTCGAGTCAGATGGAGACTACTGCCTTTCTCCCCTCACTGTTCAAAGCCCTGACAATTTGAGAACTTTTTCCTAGAAGCTTGAGGGGAAAAAAAGCCATCTAGAGCTGCCACTAGCTCTGTCTCTTGACCTGGTGGTAAAAACATCACTGGTGAGAGCAGGCTAGCCAGAGGAAAGATGTCCCTAATCTGCCCAATGTGAACATAAGGAAATAGTGACCCTTGGAAGGAGAGTATTCAGAAATGTGTTAGAAGTGACTGAAGGGTTTCAGAAATGGTCTCAAATACTTGTGGTTTCTAAGAAATGTTATCTTTCTGTGTAAAAATTATATACATGGAAATAACCATATTTAGGGAAGACATAAGATGTTGGTTATGTTTTTAATTTAAAAGTTTCATTTTCATTTTGGAACTCTGTGTAGGTGATCTATTTTTTTTAAGGTATTTTACAAGGCAGACCAAAGGCATTTTCAGTGCGATTTCTCCTATGCCTTGCGTTCAAGAAAAAGAATAGAGATAGGAGGAAGTAATGTAATATCTGGGAGTTCTTTAGAAATACATACCTTTTTGCTCAAGTAAAGACTTTTTTGGTATGGATTTGATTAAATACTAATGAATGTGAGTATCGATAAATAAGAAAAAGGTAACTTTTGCAGCAACATGAAACTACTGAGAATATTATCTGATGAATGGTCTCTACAACATGATATAAAGAACAGACAGAGAAAAAGGATACTAGTTAACAATAATATTTAGGATCCGTTTGAATGGAAGTAGACCAGAGAGAGTGATTTGCTAACAGCTGGACTTTGGGCAAGGTTTTAGCTGTGTAGAAGCGAAGAAAGCAATTTGCTGTGGAACTGTATAACGAACAACCAAGCAGAGTTAGCGATGTCTTCCTGTAAAGAGCTGAAGATGACATCAAGGTTGAACCCAGGGGTTTTGTGACTCTGAGGGGACAAATAATAGAGCTATTGACAGAGGCAGTGAAGAGAGGGAAAAGGAAGAATTTGGATAAAGATAATATACAACCACTTCAGCTCATGCTAATTGGTATATGCTCTGTTGACTTCATTCACAGCAGTTGAGGATATGGCCTGTTCAGTTCAGCTTTAATGATAAGTTTGAGTTGGCAGGGAGATCTCAGGATAAAATCTCAGCAAAAATAGGCAGAGATGAAAGAGTGAGATTATAGATCCCGAACTCTTGCAAGTGGGCCTATATCTTGTTCATTGAGTTGTGATGGCAGCTTAGGGAAGATGAGTTAGCTATGCAGAAGTAGAACAGAAAAAAACATAGAGAGCTTGAAAGAGAACAGGAAAAGAGAGAAGAAGAAACCCACTAAAAAGGCCAAAGAAAGGTTAAAAAGAAGAGAGACTTGGAGTTTTGAAAAGCAAAGTATTTGAAAGAATCCTAATAGTGAGATTAACTATAAAAGGAAAGCATACCAATAAACCAAGAGGAAAATGAAAAATAAAGGTTTTTTTTCACTCAGTTTAACAGAAAACAGATAAACAAAAGTGATTGGAACGTAATAAAAATTACTTCAAATAATTCTCATTTTCAGGAAGATGTTAGGAAATGTAAAGGTTGTGTTTTCTCTGTACTGTATGTTTTTGACTTCATAGTTCAAATGTTAACATGTTTCAGTGTCTTTTATGCTTAATTGTATTTATTGACACAAAACAACACAAAAGCTGAAAATTTGTTAGTAGATTGATATTACATTTAAATGATTGCATTCAGGCAATGTGTAAAGAAATTAAAAAGACTGTAAGAGTTTAGGAGAATACTGAAACAAATTATTTGTCTTTTGCTACGTAGTTTTCTTTCTTTCTTTGTATAAAAATATAGATCAGTAAGCAAATATATGTGATAAAATGTATATTTGTCATATATTTTCCCAAGGGTTGTAATATGGCATTATAGTCTTCAGATTGGTTTTAATGTCTAAATAAATTCTTTAATTAAATTGAGCTCTTTTTTATTTAAAGCTGTCTTTTGGGGAGATATTGCCTTAGATGATGAAGACTTAAAAATCTTTCAAATTGACAGGACGATTGACCTTACGCAGCACTCCAACGAAAGACTTGGCCATAACACAGGTATGATATTTCAAGCTTGTTTTAACTTACTTTTTCTGTTATTTACTTCTGTGTAGAAGGCAATTTCTGTTTTAAATGTAGAAAGTCAGTATAATGTTTGGGGTAATATTAGTTTACACTTTAAAAAGTTATTAAACAATGAGTATAAATT